GTTAAGTCCTCTACTTATATACGTGGAAATGGCGTGCAACGCTGTTGTCGTACTGTGTTGCTTACGGAATCCATGTTGATGATCCGCAACTGGATTGCTTTCCCTAATTCCAGGGAGGAGTAAAGCCTCAAGGGTCTTCGCTACTGGCGACAAAAGTGTAATCGGCCTGTACGATTCACCTTTGCTGGCATCATTGCCCGGCTTCAGTAGCGGGACCACCCTGTCCATAGTCCAAGCTTCGGGGACGACGTGGGTGGGTCGATAGCCACCCACGTTGGTCAAGTACTTTGCTGGACGTTGGTCAAGTACTTTGCTGCCCAATGAAAACTCAAAATACCTAATGTTTGTACTTTTTCTTTCTATCTAATGATATTTCAAAATACTAAATTATAGCCAATTTGGTTGAAAAAAGAACGCCCAAAATACCAAATAATGAGGGGTACCCCTAAAATTCCCAATATTTGGGGATGGCGTTATATGGGCCTATAGTACAACCAGGACCGACATGACCCATTTTCAATACCAAACAATATTTGCGCAAAAGTACAAAACTCTATCTTAAATATCGATAAACCTCATTTGATTGTTTAAAAAATCTAAACTGTATGCATAACAGCTAGTATGTTAATTGAACCCGGTACAAAAATCGATTTTATTATCTGTAAGTTCCGTTCCAAAATGTAGGCAACCGGTTTATTTTTCCGTGAATTAATGGCAAATATTTCCGACGAATCCGGCAGTTGTTAATACCAAATTTTTTAGCGCAAATATATATATATTTTCTCTGAGAATAGAACCCAGGACCCTTTCTAATATGAACAATTTGCCGCATAGTGTAATTCATGTTTCCTCAAACGACTCAGTCTAGAGCGTACCATAGATATACTACGATTTAAATCCATGTATACTGGTTCATACGCCCTTTAAACCTCTTCTTTATGTTCTGTATTTTAATCAAAATGCTGCCACACTTACCTCATCATAAAACTCCACTAAATCCTGTTCATCCTCCAAAGAGAATTTCGGCAACATCACCCGCACCAATGTCATAGCGAACTGAGTTTTACTAATATAATCCACCATATCCATATTCTCAACCAATTGATCCTTTAACTCCTCCAAACCATTTTCTTCCTCGGGCAAAATAATCAACAACTTTATTTCATGTAAATGTAATGGCAGCTCCAAAACACTGGCATTCAACTCCTCAACGAAAGCATAACGAAAAACATCATCCTTCCGTAAATTATCCACCAAATATGTACGATCCCCGGAATCTAGCTGATGAAAAGGCCGCTTACTTGTATCACGTGTTTGGAAATTAAATGTCCAACGAGCTTTCATGGTGATATTTTGTTCGACATAACTTTCATTACGATATTCATGTTTGAGTATGGCCTTGGGTAAATGGGGATCCTCTTCCATTTGTGTTTGTGGGCGGAAACCATAAATCGATGTAGATTCAAAGAGATCTTGGTAAAGCTCATAGGCAGCATGCGGAGCTATGGCAAAGTTTTCATCTTCATTTGTGGAATTTAATGTGTGTTGTATATATTCTAGGGTAAATTCCTTGGAATCCATGCTGAAGACTAGACAGCCGAGGCTTAGTAGGCAGATGACTAAAAATATTTTAAAAAAATATTGAATTTAAATTATTTCATTATTACCTCACATTGACTTACCTAATAAGCAAATGTTCATTTTTTTGATTTTATATTTTTATTATTCTAATAAAATAGAAATTGGCACACTCTTACTATCTATCTGTCAGTTTGTGCCTGTCTCGCTGTGTTGTCTGTTGATTAATAAACGATTTGTATTTGATTTCACACTTTACTGTGGCGCTTGGTAAAAACCAATTCTTATCAGTTCTAAAACGAGGCGCAAAGATTTTGAACTTGACACAGTCGTTGTTTGAATTTACTTTTTTATTTTTTTATAATTATTTATTTATTTTTTTGTTGTAAAGCCACTTGTTTCGGTTCGAAATTGTAAAGACCGGTAGTGTCATTATCCCATGAATGAATATCAATTCATTGTTTTTGGATTTTCATTGAATTCCATAGTAATCTAGAAAAGTGTGTTATTCATATTTTTATTTCAATAAACATATGATTTTAGTAGGCTGTATTGATGTTCCGTGTGATTTCAATATTTTTGTACAGAGAAACAAATTTTTAACGACTGTTTGCATAATTTCATCCATTTTTACTTATATTTCCTTAGAATATAAGTAAAACCAGTAAGGAAAGTAGTAAAGTCGGACGGGGCCGACTATATGATACCCTTCACCACTATGGGTATATTATATAGCATTATTAACATGAAATGGGATAAAATAAAATATGTGATATTTATCTAAATGTGAATCGGACTAGAACTATCCATAAACATGTCATTCGTTTGGAACAACAGTATGAAAATCGACTTCAAACAAATATCAATAGGTCATCCGTTGGGCTATGTCTGTACTTCTAGAAAACATAACTACGATATTCTAGGCTCAATTTTGTACGTTGTGCAAAATTTGATATCAATCTGACAAACATGAGGAGTTTGATGTACAATTTACTTAAAATCGGACGAAAATATATATGGAAGCTATACCCAAATATGAAACGATTTCAACGAAACTTGTCACAGGTTAAGTTATACTAATGTCGGTACGTTTAGTTCCTATCAGCCATATATTGGTTTCTTGGTGCGTCAATTACTTCATATCAACTATATCTAAATCCCAACCGATTTTTACGAAACTTGGCACACAAAATTCTGGACTAAATTCCGTACGCTATGCAACATAAGAACTTTGGCACATTATTTAAATTAAATCGGACCAAAAAAAAAATATATATATATAGATCTGATATATAGGGTTTTTGTTGCACCATTTACATGAAATCGGACAAAACTATATATGAGAGATATATCTAAATCTGAATCGATTTTCTCGAAACTTGGCACACATCATTATGGACCTAATTCAGTACTCTGAGCCAAATTCCATGCAAATCGAAAGATATAGAGGGACTTTGTGCCCCATTTACCTTAAATCGGACGAAACTATATATGGGAGCTATATCTAAATCTGAATCGATTTTCACGAAACGTAGCACACATCATTCCGGACCAATACAGTACCCTATGCCAAAATCCATGCAAATCGAAAGATATAGAGGGACTTTGGTGCCCGATTTACCTTAAATCGGACGAAACTATATATGGGAGCTATATCTAAATAGGGACTTTGGTGCCCGATTTACCTTAAATCGGACGAAACTATATATGGGAGCTATATCTAAATATGAACCGATTTTCTCGAAACTTGACACATATCATTCTGGACCTAATTCAGTACTCTGTGCCAAACTTCATGCAAATCGAAAAATATAGAGGGACTTTGGTGCCCCATTTACCTTAAATCGGACGAAAATATATATGGGAGCTATATCTAAATCTGAACCGATTTTCTCGAAACTTGGCACACATCATTCTGGACCCAATACAGTACCCTATGCCAAATTTCGTGCAAATCGAAAGATATATAGGGACTTTGGTGCACCATTTACCTTAAATCGGAAGAAACTATATATGGAAGCTATATCTAAATCTGAACCGATTTTCACGAAACTTAGCACACATCATTCTAGACTTAATTCATTACGCTGTGCCAAATTTCGTGCAAATCAAATATATAGGGACTTTTGTGCACCAATTACATTAAATCGGACGAATATATATATGGGGCTATATCTAAATCTGCACCGATTTTTCCCAATTTCCATAGGGTTCGTCCTTGGGCCAAATAAGTGACCTATGTCAATGTTCATCCAAATCGGTTCATAAATGCGACCTGTACTTTGTTCACAAAAATACATGGACGGACAGACGGACGGACGGACGGACAGGCATAAATCGACTCAGAAAGTGATTCTATGCATATTCTCAAAAGGAACCATGTGTCTATCTCGTTTCCGTTTGCCTGTTACAAACATATGCACAAAGACATAATACCCTGTACCACAGTGTGGTGAAGCCCGCTTGTTCGGGTAAGCACTACATAAGTACTTATACCATTGTTCCAAAAGAAAGTACCAGTACCTACTCGCCAATACACTAGCCATGCGTTTGAGTGACGAATTTAACATGGGGATGTCATTGGAGGTATGTAATCGTCACCACCTCGTTTACCTTCCATTGACGAAATCTGTAATGACAATTGCAGTCATGATTCGTTTATAATTAGTAATGAACTATTTCGCTAATGATTAATAATGACCGAAGTAAGTGCTTCATTTAATTTATTAAATATAAAATTATTTATTATTACACACATAAAAATTAGATCATATTCAGATAATAATTGTCTTCTTTTTCGGAAATGCTCATCTAGGACCAGTATTAGTAGTTTTGGACATTGTGGCTGAAAATGGAAAAATTTAGAAGTTGCAAAATTTCTCTATAAAAATTTACCTTAAAGAACGTTAAATTATTTTTATGAGCATTTCGTGTCTTTTTTGACGTCATCAATTTTTGTATAGCCTCACTCATGCTAGAGTTTGAAATAGGTATGTCTGAAATGAGAATCACTTATAATTAGAAATAATTCATTAAATACAAATTTAAAGAAATACTTACTATCAAAATATGGTGTTTAAGTCACGTGTTTTATTTATTTTTTTTTTCAAGGTAATTACCTTACCTTTAAACACACAAAATACATAAATTTCACTAGGAACACACAAAATTTATAACTTTTCTTTTCATTTGTCGACAAATAATGAAAATTTTCAACCACCAATATTTTTTTGCATCACGCAAATTTCAGAAAATAACGGAATCGAACAAAGAGAAACAAAAGAATATCTGAACTTACTTAAGCAGTTGATACAATCGATGAACCGTTCATTTACTTTGGGATACTGAAATAAGTACATACCCTTAAATCAAAATCATTAATGATGTATGCTATGATTAGTATCAATAGTATCATTCGTATTATACTAGTGGATACATAAGTAAGTACTGGAGGAAGTAATCGACGAAATTACTATAGAAAACCCGTCAATTGATGTTTTGTCGAACTAGCGGGAGGGTATAAAAACACACCACCACAACCATGATTATGTTTTGGTATCGTTTACCCGTTTATTTGACTACTGTTTCTGTTGCCAACAACCGCCGAGTTCCCACTTATTCATTTGTGACTAGTTTTGCATTCTATTGCTTCTTTATTTCAGACACTCGTACTGACCTCTGCATTGGTGTTACAAAATTCGCATATGTATTTTCCAAAATATTTCGATATAAATACTAAATACAATATATCAAACAAGTGCTGATACGAACAACCCAACATAATGATTAACATTTTATATGATTGTTCTAATGACGCAGAACATGAGCATGTAAGTAAATAAGAAGAAAAGTGACAAGACATAACGAAGAAGAAAAGATAAAATCAAAATAGAAAAATTAAAACGACAAAAGATTTTTGTGCCATCACAGCCAAACACACACTCCAAAGTTGTTTTTGCTTTCTCTGAAAAGAAACCAGTATTTAATATTTTATGAACTGGTCACTTTCTGAACCCTATTAATATGATATTCGAATTATTTCTGTGGATAAACTTCAGCATACAGTCAAATATTTAAGTCTAAGCACTATGGAAATTCGGGAACTTTAAATTAAATGAAGTAAAAACGTTGTCAAATTTGGCCCGACACAACAATTTATACCCTCCACCATGTGGTGTACATTCAATATTTCCTTAAAAAGTCGGGACTTTTACATGGAAACAATGTCACTGTAAATGGTCTGCTAGTAGATTGTTTATACTCTTATAAAAAGGGAAAACTATGCTAGGAATTTTAAAATATCAAAAATTAATCGGAAATTTTTATACCCTTCACCACACTGTGGTACAGGGTATTATGTCTTTGTGCATATGTTTGTAACAGGCAAAAGGAAACGAGATAGACACATGGTTCCTTTTGAGAATATGCATAGAATCACTTTCTGAGTCGATTTATGCATGTCCGTCCGTCCGTCCGTCCGTCCGTCTGTCTGTCGATGTAAAATTGTAAACAAAGTACAGGTCGCATTTATGATCCGAATTGGATGAAATTTGGCATAGGTCACTTATTCGGCCTAAGGACGAACCCTATTGAAATTGGGAAAAATCGGTTCAGATTTAGATATAGCTCCCATATATATATTTAACCGATTTAATGTAAACGGTCCCTATATATCTTTCGATTTGCACGAAATTTGGTACAGCCTAATCATTTACGTCTAAAATGATGTCTGCCAAGTTTCATGAAAATCGGTCCAGATTTAGATATAGCTCCCATATATAGTTTCGTCCGATTTCATGTAAATGGTGCACCAAAGTCCACATATATCTTTCGATTTGCACGAAATTTGGTACAGCCTAATCATTTAGGTCTAGAATGATGTCTGCCAAGTTTCATGAAAATCGGTCCAGATTTAGATATAGCTCCCATATATAGTTTCGTCCGATTTCATGTAAATGGTGCACCAAAGTCCACATATATCTTTCGATTTGCACGAAATTTGGTACAGACTAATCATTTAGGTCTAGAATGATGTATGCCAAGTTTCGTGAAAATCGGTCCAGATTTAGATATAGCTCCCATATATAGTTTCGTCCGATTTCATGTAAATGGTGCACCAAAGT